AGGAGGGTCCCACATGGCGCGCAGACCTCTCCTGCCGCCCGCTGCTCCCCTCAGCAGTGTACTTCGGTCCTTCTGCCTGCTCTGCTCCCTGCTCTGGCTCGGTGAATTCTCTCACCCTCCTGCGCTTCTGACTATACCCAGTGCTTGTATAAATAGATAAATAAATCTTTGGGAAAAAAAGAAAAAAAAAAAAACAAAAGCAAAAAGAACACTAGCAAAAGTTATTTAAACTTTTCAGAATGCTAGAAATTGACCAAAATTCTTACAAACATTTACAAAGCTAAGGTAGGTAAAAATAGAAGGGTTTGTGGTCTTGTAACTTGACCTACTCCCAACCACTTCAGCTCTGAGGTAACTGAAAACCAACAACTTTGTAATTGTGCTAGCTGTGAAAAGCAAGTCAGTCTCTACAAAAGGATGACTTTGAATCTTTTTAATAATAATAAAAACAATCCATTCCAGAGAATTGCTATTCAGACTGTTTTGCAACTCCCTGGAAATAAAGGCTCCCTTCTTAAGCCTTGGGTTTATTTCACCTGGCTCAGAGATTACCCTGTGCAAATAACTTTGTCCCTCAGGGTGTTTGTCAAAAACAATCCACAGCAATTATTTAAAATCACAGCTGCCTGAGGCATGAAAGCATTTGGGACTAACTTGAGGTTCACCAAAAAAATGTGTAAGAAAAAGCTGAAGAATGAGCGTTCACAGAGGATTTTGAAAGGTTTAGGACATTTCCTATTTTCTTGGGAAAACAGGAAGTGTGCACATACACAGTCTGTACCTATGCCCTAGACCTTAAGAGGCCCCATTTTCTCATGAGTGATCTTGAGGCTCAACCCAAGCTGGAAATAAAAGCTGAGGCAGAGTTGCAAACCGACATTTCTCATAAGACATGCCTCAACAAAGAATCTCTGAGCAAAGGCAGACTTAACTACTTCAAGGCATTTAAGGGAAGCTTCCAGTCATTGGCTGACCATTAAGATAACCAAGCAGAGACTTCGTGTGTGCACATGTAACAGAATAAGGGCTTACTGAATTAGTCCAGGACAATCATACACCAAACAGTGGCAAACTAAGAGGTGGAGGACATGTGTCATTTAACTACCCACTTTTAAACAACAATTTAAGATAAACATGAAAATAAAATCCATACACAGGAAAAAAGTGCAAAAGTGCCCCAAGGAAGTCTACACATTGGACTTGACTCTTTTTTGAAGAATGGGACTAATGATCCACTGATAGAGAATACTGAAAACTACAACAAACTAGAGATTTTGGAGTTGAAAAGTATAACACAAGTGAAAAGTTCACTAGAACAAACCAAGCATCAGGTTTTAACGGACAGAAGAGTGAAAAAATGACAAATTGGTAAATTGTGATTGTCCAGTCTAAAGAATAGAAATGAAAAAAGGGAACAGAGACCCGTGAGATACCTCCCCCCAAGTCAATCAGCGTACACAATGTGAGTCCAATCAGAAGAAAAGGAAGTGAACAAAGAATATTTGAGAAATAATAGCTGAAAACTCCCCAAAGTACAGAAAAAAAACTCTACATTCCAGAAACTTAATCTTCAAGTAAGAAAAACTAACTGTCATCAGTACTGGGCCTCCCTGGTGGCGCAAGGGGTTGAGCACTGCACTATGAGGCGGTCCACAGCCTCTGCAGCATGGGTTCGATCCCCGGCCGGCCAGGGAGCTACCCACATGGCGAGGCAGACCTCTCCTGACTCACCTGCTCCTTTCAGTGGTGTGCTTCCATCAATCTGCCTGTTCTGTTCCCCACTCTGTCTCTGGTGGATTCTCTCACCCCCCGCATGTCTGGCCTATGCCCCAGCTCTGGTATGCAAAAATAAATAGATCTTTAAAAAAAATGTCATCAGTACTTTAACACATCATTGTCAAAATTTCATAAAACAAGGGAAAAACCTTGAAAGTACTATGAGAAAAGTGATTCATCACATACAAGGGGAATCATGGAGGCTACATGGCCAATATGTGAAGACATCCTGGAAATACAAAACTCCTTTTCAACATGAAGAAACACATTTCTAGATAAAGACAGCTTATTCATCACAAGCAGACTTTGCCAGGCATAAAGAAAGCTAAAAGGAAACCATCAGACTGAAATGGAAACACTTTTAAATAGTAACTAGTATCCACCAAAGAAAGGTAAGTATATACAAAAATATAAAACAGTAAAAATGCATTTTAATGTATAATGCTTTTCTTCTGATTTAGAAGAAAATACATCAAACAATTATGAAATATTGTAGGTTTGTAATTATATGAAGTACAAAAACAGGGGAAGTAAATAGAGCTATGTTGGAGCAAGGATGTTAACATCTTCTGAAATTAAGTGGTGGTTTAGACCTGGAGAAACGGGAGGATAGACTGCTGACTGTTAATGGAACTGGGTTTCTTTTTTAGATGACAATGGTGTTCTGAAATTGAATCTGGTGATATTTGCATGTATCTGAATATACTAAAAATCATTCAGCTGTACACTTTTGCAGGGTGAATTACGTACTTTGTGAATTGCATCAATAAAGCTTTTAAAAATAAAAGCACTGGGGAAATAAAAGGAATCAAGTAAGAATCCCTTAATATTTATAAGAAGCGAGGTTAAATCTGTGGCTTGGCATAAGGGGAAAAGTGTAATTATATATTCTGCATAAATACATTTGTTGTTATCCTATGAGAGTCATTGAAGTAAAATAAGAGAGCACCAAGAGAAATTATAAAATGCAATATAAATGTGAAGTACTAAGAACAAAAAATATCAAGGCTCTCTCTTTAGAAGTATCTTTCCACATGCACAAATTCAACGTTTATTCAATGGCTTCGTCATTGCACTCATGTTTCATTAAAATGTTTCATTTTAAAATGAGGTTCTTTTTTTAAATTTTAGAGTCGTGATATTTTACAAATTTTAAACAAGAATGAATTTCTCTGGTATAATTGGTCTTGTTTTATAAAATACAAAATGTACTCTTGGTAAATTTGTACAAAAGTTTATTTTTTGTGATCCATTTAAATTTTCAGGAGCACTTTTGTACATAAACCAAGACCTTTCTTTCACAAGTTGTATTTTTTTTTCCCTGCTTATATTAAAATGAGAGATGCCTAAATGAAAACAGTTTAACACAATTAGGTAAGCCTGGAAATTAAATCTAAAAATATTTGACCTGGAGATTAGAACCAATTAAACAGCAGGAAGCCTGGACGTAGTGAATCATAGTAAACTAGACATTTAATGATAGTGTCTACTTATTAAATAGCTGATAATGCCTCCTTTAATTTTACAAGAACCATGATATCTGATATTTTCTAATGAGATCTCAAGTCCAAGAATATGGGTGAGTACCGGAATGGTCTGAAGTGAGAAAACTCTCCCTGAAAAAGGCCTCTTTTGCAGAGCTTTGGAACCTCTGCATAGAGCCTGAGAAATAACCAAGACACCAAAGAATTGGCATTGCTTGGTTCCTTGGTATTGCTCAATCTGAATTTCTCCTCATTTCAGGTTCAGAATCAGAGCTAAATCAGAAATAGGCTGAATTTCAGGGACTTGGACATCTTAACAGTTTGTGTTTACCTGGCCCATGTTCTGAGCCATGTTTGTCACAAAGTCCCGCTTGGAGGCCGCCTCCTCCAGCTCTGAAGCAATCCTGTTCCCAGGCAGGTAGCATGATAGAGTGGGCTTAAAAGCACCCATTCCTATTACTCTGAAATCTTGAACAAATTTTCTCTCGTCTCTGAGTTTCCATTTTCTCATCTGCAAGATGGGGTTATCAATACTGATAGGATTTGGGGTGTAGAGGATAAAATGGTTAAAGGCACAAACTTAATAAGTGGTAAGTCCTAGAAATCTAATGGGCAGTATAGGAAATTTAGAGACTGATAGTGTATTATAATCCTCAAATTTGCTGAGACTAAAACTTACTTATTCCCACCACTAAAAAGAATTATGTAACATCATAGAGGTGCTAATTATCACTACAATGGTGATCATATTACAATAAATTAATCAAATTAACATGTACACATTAAACTAGCACAGTTACATGTCAAATATTTTTACAAATCAACACTTAGTATCATTAGATATCAGTGTAATTGTAAGACTTAAGTGAGAAACAACTGTTCAATATAATAATTCTATCTGAAACATCTTGTGAAAGGTCACATGGAACTCAGGTTTAGCTTTGCTAAAACTGTTTTACCTCTGGACTGGCCTCCACTTTGACAAGTATTGTCAAATATATTAGCACTGACAGTTAACAAGAATTGCTTCCTGAAGTAGAACAAATGGAAAGCTGCCAAATTTTTGGAGAATAAGAAAATACATGGTCAGAAAGCTAAGACATGAACTAGCATTTTCTCTCAGATGAAATTGGTGCTTCTTGACCAGTGAGCACAAGAGACTACCAGTTTGAGCAGTGATACTAACAGTACTCAAAGAACTTGCCACTCTCCTGACGGGGAAGGTCAGGAGAACTTGAAAAACATTAGAAAATGTTTTTCAATTTACTTACTAAGATCTAAACAAATTTAACATATTTATTTGCTTTGCCTTTATGAACAACTATATGTCATGGTAGTTAAATCATCATCAAAACTACTGCTTGTGATTGCTATCTCTAATTCCGTAAGATCCTATATTAAGCAAGTATGTTAAATGAATAAAATTAAGAATTTCCTTTCCTGTAGTTTCACTGTGACCAGGACTTGATTTACTAATTAAGAAAAAATAATTTTTATGTTTTGGTCACATTATTTTATATATGTGCATCCCTGAAAAATAACTACAATCATTTTTGTACCTGCAATCTGCATTTAAGCTGTAGTTATTGATAGTTTCTTCAGTTGGTCAGTGAAATTTCTAGGCATTACATTAATATATCACTAAATAACAGACCACTAAATACTTCTGGAAGCCTGACAAGTTTTGCTGCCAGGAGTAAAAAATGGTAAATGTAACCTGGCACTATTCAGGGTACATACCAGTGTTTGCAATGTGCAGTACTCCTACTCCAGAAATTAATTGTGATGTCTTCTGAGAAGGGAAGGTCTGTGCCAAACCACCGAGGTCATGCGTGCTTCTCAAATTTTTCTTGTCGCTGAAACTTCCACTCCGGCTTTCCAGCATACAAGCAACTGCAGAACAGCCACTCCACTGAACCCTGGATTCTTCTTTCCTTCCAAGACGTAAAAGCCTATCCATTCTCCAAAATGCTTTTGCAAAGGCTTTGTGTATATCCTCATATTCACACTCCATTGCTTTTACTTTTTTCTTTGTGGAGAAGAAATCTTCTATAGCTGTGTAATCTTCCCTAAACACTGTGCAAAAGGAATCGATTACATTTTGTTCTTCAGGGGTCATTTGGTAGGAAGGATCACGTGTGGAAAGTTGATGGAGAAATAAAATTGGGAGTTCCCTTGATGTCAGGTCTGCAGCGGAGGCACCATCATACCCCGCAAACAAACCAAAAAAACACACATCGGGTTTATTGCCAAACTTCCTAACTACTGTGAATTTATCATGCATCTCAGCTCTCCATGTAGAATTCCTGTCATTACAAACGGCTATGCTTTTAATTAATATATGGTAGAGTTTTTTAGAATATATGTAGCGCTTGTGGATGTTATCAATAATCTTATAGTATGCTGGCAAGTGTTTCTTCAAAACTAGTTCAAACGCATGATTAACACTCGCTAAGGTTTTTTCAGGGTATGTAAGAGATGTTAAGAGGTTGGTGATTGTAATCTGTCTTTGAGCAACCATTGCTTCCTGCGTGGGTTTCTTTTTACCCAGCCACTGAAAACCCAGTGTGGCCATAGCTTCATGTAGCTTTTTATGGAAGAAAATTTCAGAAAGGCCAATTTCATGCTGGCAGATGGAACAGGGAAATGTGACTTTATCTTTGACCTGCTCACTAAGGTCTTCAGTGTTGGTATATGATTGCCTCTGCCTTCTTAAACGCTTTCTTCTCCTTGGAGGTGGGAGTTCATCATCAGAAGTAAGTGAAGACTTTTGCATATACTGTCCCCTTGTTTTCAAAATCACTCTGCAAATAGGATGAAAGATATTTAGGTGCCAGGAATAATGCAATAAAAATATCTTTAACTCCTATCTTCAACCAGCCTCTTATGCTTTGACTAGAATTAAGTATTCTGATGCATCTTTTTGTGATTCTCCCTAAAACACACAGTAACTGCTCAATACTTAGTAATTTACCTGTGTGTGCCTCAATGTAGTTGGACAAAACTTCCACAAAGTCAGATAGACATCTAAAAATAAACACTGAGAGAAATTAGCACAATGTTACAGCAATGTAAAGGTATATGCTTGAGACATGGGAATATGATTTCAAATATGAGTGTAATTATTTTTGTACTCCATTTTGTCTTGTTTAAAGCACTTGTCCTAATTAAAGAGTTCTTTTAAAAATGAGGGACACCAAAACTAAGCAGAATAATGAAAAGAACTAATAGGACAGAATTTTTTTTAAGACTACAATGGAAAGGAAAGGTATAGACCGAGGAAAGGAAAGATGTGTAACTGGAATGATAAGTTTCTGGAAAGCGGGCACCTTTCTTTCAGAAGTATCTGGTACAGTGCATGAGGTCATTTTATCTACAGATCTTTAGGGCATGGGCCTCAGCAAGGGCCTATGGGAATATCAGAGACCTGAAATAATATACTTAGGTTATAAAATATTTTTAAACCTGAAAAGTCAAAGTTGGTAGTTCTAAGTGTTTAGGAAAACTAGTTAAATTCAGTTTAGTTCATATATAAATTGTAGTTGATATGGGTACATTTAATGTGTTAGATGTAATAAGAGGTGGGGCCTAAAACAATGTGAATACCCAGAGTCCTTAGGGACTCAAAACTTCCCAGACGTAATAGGTATTCAAGAATGTTGATGATTCTTGTAATAAGAAATAAACCCATTTTGTCATAATGACAAAATAACAACAATATGTTAGGGGCCTCCCCGGTGGCGCAGCGGTTGAGCGCTGGGTTGCGAAGCTGCCCGCAGCCTCTCAAAGCCAGTTCGATCCCCGGCTGCTCCCCAGCCACCGGAGGAGGGTCCCACATGGCGCGCAGACCTCTCCTGTCTCACCTGCTGCTCCCCTCAGCAGTGTACATCGTCAGTCTGCCTGCTCTGCTCTCCCCTCCGGCTCTGGTGAATTCTCTCACCCTCCCGCGCTTCTGACTGTACCCAGTGCTTGTATAAATAAATAAATAAACAAACAAACAAACAAATAAAATAAATCTTTAAAAAAAAAAACAACAACAATATGTTAGCATAATCATTATTTAAGGTTCAATACAGGATACAAAATAGAAATAAAAGAATGTTCTTATACCCTACCCCTCTCTCAATTCCAAAATCCCAGTCCAGTGGGAATCAATACCTTGTTATTTATCTTTCCAAATATATATTATATATATTTATATGTACATGTTTATTTAAATATATATATATATATTTCTGAGATGTAAGTGGGGTCATATTTTTCAGACCATTCTAGAAACTGCCATTTTCACACATTATTATGTCATGGCCTCTTATTGAAAGTTTAAATATGGAGAGACAACATAGACTTTGGATCTAAAAGGAAGCCTTCAGTTACTATTTGACAGTAGTCAAATTATATAATTTCTGTGAGTATTTTCTTATCTGTAAAGTTAACAGGCTTGTTTTTAGCATCAAATGAGATAACTGGTGATTTAATTGGCAATAAGGTACATTAAAAAATACCTTGGGCTTCTCCGGTGGCACAGTGGGTTGAGTGCAGTGCTGTGAAGCTGTCCGCAGCCTCTACAGCGCCGGCTAGATTCCCGGCCGGCCAGGGAGAATCCCACATGGCGCGCAGACCTCTCCTGCCGCCCGCTGCTCCCCTCAGCAGTGTACTTCGGTCCTTCTGCCTGTTCTGTTCCCCGCTCTGGCTCTGGTGAATTCTCTCACCCTCCCACGCTTCTGACTGTACCCAGTGCTTGTATAAATAAATAAATAAATGAAAAAAATAAAAATAAAAATTTCCACTTCATAAATCCTCCCAGTCTTCTCAATGTATTGCCAAGTCCCGGCTTTGACCACCAGCAGATTTTTATTTCTTAAATGGAAAATTATAAAATTACATAAAAATAGAAAAATATAATGAGCCCCATGTACCCATCACCAACTTCAACAATTACCAACATTTTTCAAATTTTAAGAGAATTTTTTAAGATCATTAATAAATTGTCTATCTTCTGTACACATCATGATTGACTAACTACCATTATTTTTTTTTTAAACTCTTCTTTCATCCATGTTTTCAATCTCTTTGCTTGATTAGTTTTACTGGTATTGTAAAGCAAATCCCAAAATTATATCACTTTCACCCATAACTACTTCAGATTCATTAGCAAATTTAATCAGCAACCATTCACGTCTTCAATACCTATAATAAATAGACCAGGTACTATGTATGGTGCTAAAGATGATAGACGACAAATCTTGTGCCCTGCTCTTGAAGATATGAGGGGAGGAATCTGAAAACCCATCCATATGCTCATACAAAGGATTAAGCTGAACAGATGGGGTTTAGACAGAGCGCCATTACAGTACCCAACCAGAGACTAACCCTTTAGCTGAGAATTGGCATCATGAGCGCTGAGAAACTGACCTAGAAAAACTCAACAGTTGGAAGAGATCCGCAATTCAAGGCAAATCCAAGCAGGTAGAAGGAAGAAGAGGATCAAGCAAAGGAAATGGACACTTAATAGTAAGTATGTCAGTTCTTTTGACCAAAATATTTATCAAATATTTTCGTCATTACTTGGTAATAGTCATATAAAAGGTAGTTTTTTCTGAGGCCTAATGAGCTGTTGGAACACTACTTAAGGCACCCTAATACTGATTTGACCTAGAATCGAACCCTTATATCAGAACTTTGTTTTTCTATATATAAGGGGTAGCCACAATATAGCTCCCTCTGGGAATGATTCTTCGAATGTAATATGTCATTTGTTTGTTCATTCATCCTCTCAACAAATACTTGATTGTCTACAATATTCCAGGTGGTGTTTTATTTGCTGGGGATATAGCAGTGAACAAAACAGGCATATATCCTGATGTGCAAGGTAATATGGGAAAAATGAACATATATCAGGTAAAGATTAGTACTATGAAGAATATAGACAAATAAGAGTGTAGGGAGGTGCAGAAATCTTTTGTATCAAGATTCAGAGGGATCTATCACTCATCAATGCCCGTAGTCTAAAGGAAGCCAAGGGGAAGAAAAAGAGGGCCTCCCTGGTGGCGTGAGGGATTAAGTACAGCACTATGAAGCTATCCGCAGCCTCTGCAACAGGGAGGTGACACACATGGCGCAGCAGACCTGTCCTGTCTCACCTGCTGCTCCCCTCAGCAGTGTATTTCAGTCAGTCTGCCTGTTCTGTTCCCCACCCTGTCTCTGGAGAATCCTCTCAATCCCCGCCCCTCACCCACACCTCTGGCCTGTACCCCAGTTCTTGTATGCATAAATAAATCTTTTTTAAAAAAAAAAAGATTACTGCAGATAACAATTGTTCATTGGCTAGATTTGTTATCCAATAAATATAAAGAAAATTTACCTTAATGCATTCCTTTCCATAGTCCTTTGGAATTGTTACCTTCCTTAGCCCTCTCTCTACCACCATTCCCAGCTTCTGTTGCTCCAAATTAGGTAGCGGTGACGATGACCGTCGAGAGGTGGTGCCAGTGGAGATGGTGGTGGTGGGCCTTCCGCTGACTTGATGGCAGAGCTCTGTGTGGAATGTTTACTACATCACCCGGCACCTCAGCAGGAACCCACTTCATGATTCTGAAAGATTGTGAAGCAATAAGGTCCCAACTGGAAAGAAGGAAGGAACTTGTCTGTGAGAACTGAAAGAACTTTTTTTTAAAAGATTTATTTTTATACAAGAGCTGGCGTACAGGCCAGAGGCGCGGGAGGGTGAGAGGATTCACCAGAGACAGAGCGGGGAGCAGAACAGGCAGATGGACTGAAGGCACTGCTGAGGGGAGCAGCAGGCGAGGCAGGAGAGGTCTGCCGTGCCATGTGGGACTCTCCCTGGCCAGCAGGGAATCAGACCCGCACTGCAGAGGCTGCAGACAGCTTCACAGCTCTGCGCTCAACCCACTGCGCCACCAGGGAGGCCCCTGAAAGAAATTTTATGCCTGTATGATAGGATAAGAAAAAGATAAGAGTAGTGGTTATCACGTAAAGTTTTTCCCCTTGTAAGTCACTTTCAATATAGTGATTCCAGGAGGTTATCCTTAGTTCAGGGATGTAGTGCCATCCCACCCGGGAGCAGAGATGCTCGGCTGTCTCTCCAGAGCAACCCCTCCTATCGGTCTTTGGAGTCTACCACTCCATTTTACTCTCCCTAGTCACTGCCTGAAAGTTATAAACCTTGTTTGTAATGTACTTTTGATTCCTGAGCCTGCTTCCTTCCTGAACAGTTGTCTTTAGTTCCTAGGTTCCTAATCCACAATGGCACTCCACTCTCCCACTCCAGGCTGGATTAGAACAAGAGTCCTTGAGTAGCATGTTCACATATTAGAAGAGTTTGGACAAGCTTGACTGTCTGCTGGACATCTCCATGGAACTACAGCACAGTCAACACAAAGTCAACATGTCCAAAACTCACTACCTTTCCTCCAAACACCTTGGTTGGGATAGAAACTTTTTCTTAGAATCCGTTTCCCTGTGTGGTTCCAGGTGAGAGTTGTCCAAGAAAAGGATTTGCATGAGATGGGGGATCTACATCTGAATGCCATCATAGTTCAATGAGATGACTGACAAATGCACAATAGGTTCTAGCGTGTCCTTGCTCTGCTCTGTCTGCAGCTCCAGCCCCAGATGACAGGTCCTGCTAACCAACAGCAGCTGCAGGTCCATCAGCAGACATCTTCCTGTGGACCTACAAAGGCCAGTGCTTACTCTAGACTTCTGTCAGCCTCCCCTTTCTGGTCCTACTTTGGTGGCTGGACACTCTTAGTTTCTCAGACACACTGGTTGGGATTTCTTTGGTCTTCAATTCTCAGATATTCAGCCATCCAGTTCCTCCCATAAACATGTAAAGTCTGATTTCAACAATGAATTCTTTATTCCATGACTCCTTGGGTTCAGTTTTATCAATTGAACCCCTGCTGATCACCACCACCCTGTCTTCCCATTCCAGATATATATCAAATTGATCAGCAAGGCCTTCAGATCTCTCTCTTCAATACCCCTTTACTCAACCTGCTATTACAATGTGCAGGATACCAAAATATTTTGCCGGGATCATTGTACCAGCTGCTAGCTACACTAACATCTCCAGTCTGGCGCCTGCCATTTGGAATGGACAGGGGTGATTCAACTGCCTTGACCTTGTTGTTGGCATAAACTCCTTCATGTGTTTGACAAGGTGTCTTTGTCTGCTGGTAACTTCTCTAGCCTCAGTTCTCATCATTACCCCTGTCCCAAGTGAAAAGTATATAGAGGGCTTCCCTGGTTACACAAGGGGTTAAGCACAGCACTATGAAGCAATCCACAGCCTTTGCTACTTGAGTTCAATCCCCGGCTGGCCAGGGAGCAACCCACATGGCGCAGCAGACCTCTCCTGTCTCACCCGCTGCTCCCCTCAGCAGTGTATTTCAGTCAATCTGCCTGTTCTGTTCCCCACTCTGTTGTTGGTGAATCCTCTCACCCCCTCCCCCCACGCATCTCTGGCCTGTACCCCAGCTCTTGTATGCATAAATAAATAAATCTTGAGAAAAAAAAGTGTATAGATCCACTAGAGGAACCTTTGCCAGTTTGGTAGGAAATAGTATTTGTTAGTTTCAATCTGAATTTGTTATTATTTGATTGCTTTTCAATTCACCCTAGGTGCAGGCATTGTGTATTCATTTCCAGCTGCTGTTTCATCTCCATGTCCCTAAAACATGGGAAAAGGTCTCCTTCAAGCGAGCACCGAGTCTCCTGTAGGCTCCAGCATTCTGGGGTGAGGCCCGGCATCTTGTGGGGTGGCTGTGATACTCCTATCTCACCTCCATAAGCAGCTCTCAGGTAGGGTGGCCATGGAAAAACTGCCTTACAGTGTTAACTGATGCTTTCATGACAACTTTCACCCAGAGATACATAGGGCCTCTCTGGTGGTTCTGGGGTTAAAGACAGCTCTATCACGCTATCTCCAGCCACTGCAGCACGAGTTCAATCCCTGGCCAGCCAGGGAACTAACCCACATGGCACAATAGACCACCTTTGTCTTGCCTGCTGCTCCCCTCAGCAGTGTATTGCAGTACATCTGCCTGTTCTGCTCCCTACTCTCTCTGGTAAATCCTCTCACCCCCACCCCGCCGCACCTCTGGCTTACACCCCAGTTCTTGTGTGCATAAATAAATAAATCTTTTAAAAGATGCAAAAATAGAGATAGAGAAAACATTCAGGAGCATATTCCTGGAATACTTCCCAAGGGGGAAGATGGGTATCTCTATATGGGTTTTCACTGACTTGTTTTCTTCCAAAGTATATTTATTGTCTATTAATTCTGTCTATCTGTGAGCTGGTACATATTTTATTTTTGTCATTTATTTTACTAACAAATAGAGCATGCTATATATTTATTCATTAGATGGCCAATTAGAGCATTCTACTTTTTAAAATATTCAAACAATACAGAAGTATATAGAAGAAAAGTAGAGGTCTCTCCGCAACATAACCACTGCCAAAATCAGGCATGTATTGTTTCACACTGCTGCTTTCTCTGTATTTTCATAAGTCCATGAACTATGGAGACATAATCTTTTTTTTTAAATTAAGGTCTGATTCCCTTAATAGCACAAATTCTAAATGTATAGCTTGTTGAATTGATATAAAGGGATATACTTGTAGACTCCGCTAAGTCTTGTTTTCTATATTTTAAAAAATAACTTTGCAATATAATTATAAAATTACTTGATAAATATTTTCTATTACTAGTAGGGGTAGGGATTTTCCAAGTCAATATTTATCAACCTGTTCCATTTTTTTTTTAACTGCTATAATATACCCCATAGAAAGTATAAATGATAAAATTATGGAAATGATTGTTTTGCTATAACTATGAACATTATAGCAAACAAGAACATACCTACAAGAACATACAAACAAGGCTTTTTGTGCAGAGGCTGGTGGTTGGTGGATGTGCAAACCACAGAAAGTCTGAGAGGTGGAGGGGAATTTGCAAGGGGTTAGGATCAGGCAGGTGGGACTCAAATCCCAGCTTGTTGCTTACTTGCTGGTGCTTTTAGATTATTTAGCCAGTTCAGGGCAAAGTTTTGTCAGCTGTGAAATAGAAATAATAATAGCACCTCTGCTGGGTTGGTGTGAAATGAGAAACGTCTATCAAATGCTGAACAAGCATTGTGTACAGAATAGAGGCACAATAAGCAACTGTTGTTATCATTAATATTAGCCTAGTAATATTACCTCGTATGCACACATTCCACACCATATTCTCACATATGTTTCCATTAGGATGTCTTCCCCTGGTTTGCTTTCAGCCATTTCTTTCTATTCAGCTTTAGCTCTCCAAATGCCTACATTTATCATAACCCCCAGCTCAATATCACTCTTACCTGTATACACACTCCCACAAATATGTATACACACACACACACACACTATAACATTTAAAAACCAACTTTGAGGGCCTCTCTGGTGGTGCAGGGGGTTAAGATGCAACCTATGGAGCTATCCTCAGCCACTGCAACATGAGTTCAATCCCCAGCCAGCCAGGGAGCTACCCACATGGCGTGGCAGACCTCTTCTGGCTCACCCACTGCTTCCCTCAGCAGTATATTTCAGTCAATCTGCCTGTTCTATTTCCCACTCTGTCTCTGGTAAATCCTCTCACCCCCGCCCCCCCGCCAATACCTCTGACCTGTATCTCAGTTCTTGTATAAATAAATCTTTAAAAACAACCAAAAAAATCCCTACCAATAACAACTTCTGCCAGAAATTCATATTCATAAAATATGAATAAAACAGAATAAAGGCAAATACCCACCTTGTCTTGGGATGGGAAAACACTGGTTAAATAGTACCATAAAAGTACAGAAAGCAAACTATCCCCTGGTAGAACATACAACAGATATTATTGGCAAAATATTTAAATCCAAAATGTATGCTGTTATAAGTAATTTGATACAATAAATCAATAATAGAAAGACAAATATTCCTTTGCCTCCAAAAGCCAAAAAGTGTTATTTTTCTTAAGGACATATTATTAACTAGTAAACATGAAATATGCTCTACCTCAATAATTACCAGAAAGATGCAAGTTTCAATCTACCATATTGGCAAAATCCAAATGTCTGACCATCCCAAATGTTGTTAAGGATGTGGGGCCATAAGAATTCTTAAAGACTATGCTACCTGTGAAAAGAAAAATGGACACATTCATTTTATAAAACAAGCTCACCGTCCCTCCTAAGCTGAGGATTCATCCATCCCAACAGTCTGTGAAATGTGCCATGAGGGCCTCACTGGTCTGCCACCTGTTATTTTTTTTTAATTTTTATTTATTTATGCATACAAGAATAGAGGTTAAGGCCAGAGGTGTGGGGAGTGAGAGGACTCACCAAAGATAGATTGGGAGTAGAACAGGCAGATTTATTAAAATACACTAGTGAAGGGAAGCAGCAGGCGAGACAGGAGAGGTCTGCTGCACCATGTGGGTCTGCTCCCTGGCTAGGGATTGAACTCAAGCCACAGTGGCTGGTGATAGCTTGACAGTACTGAGACTAACCCCTACGCCATCAGGGAGGC